CCAAATATTACAACAAAATGTGCAAAGATCTAGAATCAGAAAACCAAAAAGGAAGACCACACTCAGCATTTCTGAAGCTGGGGGAACTGAAGAAAAAATTCAAGCGTTGACTTTCGTTATTGAAAGATTCACTGGGCAAATTATTGAATGATGCAGAAAGCTTCAAGAGAAGATGGAAAGAGCGGAGAGTGGGACCCGACCCCGATACCAGAGATGGAGGAAAAGATGATGACGTGGAGAGATGGAGTGGCTGGGGGCTTTAGACCCAGAGATGGAGAGGGTTGTGTGCTGACAACCAGGGGGGCAGGCTTGCAGGGTATACTGGTTGGCTGATGATACATGGAGGGGTTTGTAACCATGGCAATTAAATGATATACGATAGGATGCATTTAAAACTAACGTTCTCCCATGTAAACGATCACATAACTCACAAGATTAAAAAAAAAAAAAAGATGGAAAAAATACACAGAGTCACTAAATCAAAAGGAAATTGTTAATGTTCAACTGTTTCAAGCGGTAGCATGTGATCAAGGGCCAATCATACTGAAGGAGGGAGTCCAAGGTGCATTGAAGGAATTGGCAAAGAACAAAGCACCAGGAGTTGATGGAATAAAAATTGAAATCTTTCAAGAAAGTGAGGCGGCACAGGAGGCACTCACTCATCTCTGCCAAGAAATCTGGAAGACAACTATCTGGCCTACTGGAAGCGATCCGTATTTGTGCCCATTCTAAAGAGAGGTAACCCAACAGAATGTGGAAATCATCGGACAATCTCTTTGATACCCCATGCGAGTAAAGTTTTAATAAATGTAATACAGAAACTGCTGCAAGCATACATTAACAGAGAACTTCCAGAGGTTCAAGCCGGATTCAGAAGAGGTCGTGGAACAAGGGATATCATTGCTGATGTGGCTAAAAACAGAAAATATCAGAAAGATGTTTACATGTGCTTTATTGACTACGCAGAAGCTTTTGATTGTGTGGATCATGACAAGCTATGGACATTACGAAGTATGAATATTCTGGAACACTTAATTGTGCTCATGAGGAATCTGTACATGGACCAAGAGGCAGTTGTTTGAACAGAACATGGAACACTGAATGGTTTAAAATTAAGAAAGGTATGCAACCAGGTTGTATTCTTTCACCATACTTATTCAACCTGTATGTTGAGCAAATAATCCCAGAAGCTGGGTTATATGAAGAAAAACATGGCATTAGGATTAGAGGAAGACTCATTAACAACCTGCGATATGCAGATGATACAACCTTGCTTGCTGAAAGTGAAGAGGATTTAAAATATTTAGTGACGAAGATCAGAGGACAACTTTCGGTATGGATTTTATCTCAATATAAAGAAAACAAAAATCCTCACCACTGGACCAATAAACAACATTCTTATCAATAACAACAGAGAAAAGATTGAAGTTGTCAAGGACTTTATTCTTCTTGGATCAACTATCAACATTCATGGAAGCAGCAGTCAAGAGAAATCAAATGACATACTGCATTAGGCAAATCTGCTGCACAAGACCTTTTGAAAGTGTTGAAGAGCAAAGATGTCAGCTTGAAGACTAAGGTTCGCCTAACCCAAGCCATGGTATTTTCAATAACCTCATATGCATGTGAAAGCTGGACAGTGCATAAGGAAGACCATAGAAGAATTGGTGCTTTTGAGTTATGGTGTTGGAGGAGAATATTGAAAGTGCCATACGCTGTCAAAAGAACCAACAGATCTGTTTTGGAAGAAGTGCAGCCAAAGTGCTCCTTGGAGGCCAAGATGGCCAAACTTCGTCTCTCATACTTCAGACATATTGTCAGAAGGGACCAGTCGCTGGTGAAGTACATCATGTTTGCTAAGGTGGAAGGACAGAGAGAAAGAGGAAGACCCCCAACAAGATGGATTGGCCAAGTGGCAGCATGGATGGACTCAAGCTTGGAAACAGTAGTGAGGTTAGCCCAGGATCGGGCAGTGTTTCCTTCTGCTGTGCACAGGGTCACTACTCAATGGCATCTAACTACAACAAGCTTGCAATAAAACTGTAAAAAAGCTTGAAATACTATATGTGACTCAGACATATGGGAATGAGGTAAGCATATGCTATTTAAAAAATGTTGCTAATAGACTTGGTCAACACATGGTAGCTACAAATCCTTAATTTGTATATATATAAAAAAATGCAACATCTGCAAAGTGCAATAAAGTGAAGTGCAAGAAAAGAGTCCTGGTGTGGCACTGTGGGTTAATGCACTGGACTGCATGGTCGGTCAAACCAAAAGGTTGGTGGTTCAAGCTTACCAGCTGCTCCTCGGAAACACTATACAGCATCACTATGAGTTGGAACCAACTGGACGGCACTTAACAACAACAACACCAACTGCACTGAAGCACCTGACAATAAAAGTTTCTTGAGTAAAGAGTTATTTATTCTAATTCATGAAAATTTTATTGACTTCCTTATGTTCTTATTATGCATTTAACTCCTCTGCTTTTGTTATATGTTAACTTCTGTTTTGGTTTGAATTTTCTCTTAATTAACATTTTTCATGACAATTTAAGGAAACTTGCACAGGGTGGTGATAAGAGCACAGCATGGTCAATCACATAATTAACATCAATGAATTATATACTTAAAGATCATTATAATGGCAAAGTTTGTATTACATGTTACTTTATCACAATAAACAAGAAAATGATAACAGGAAATGACAGTGTAGAAAAGAAGCACTTTGGCCATGCATAACTTCTAAAGAAGCCTCCTAGCTGCCAAGCTTCCATTAAAATAATTAAAGACATATTTGGTAATCATTTATTCTATTTTTTGAATTTCTGATTTTTTTCTATAGTCAATTAGCTTTAGCTGTAATTGAAAAATAGATTTCCACTGATTAAGTAGAATTCCTTTGTACGTATATAACACAGTACTCAGACAGTAGAACTGAAGTTTTGATACATGCTTAGTGAAATAAGCCAAACATAAGGGGACACATACAGGGGCTTCAAAAAATTTTGGGAAAAATTCCAGAATCTTTTAATTTCATTTGGTTACGAATTGGGCTGCGAACCTTAAGGTCAGCGGTTCGAAACTACCAGCTGCACCGCGGGAGAAAGATGAGGCTTTCTACTCCCGTAAAGATTTACACCCTCGGAAACCCTATACAGGGTCGCTATGGGTCGGAACCGACTCGATGGCACATAACAACAACAACAACAACATGAACTTTTTAAAGCCCCCTCATATTATATGACTTCATTTTATTTTAAAAGACTAGACAAGGCAAAAAACATACATATAATAAGACAAATGTTCAACCTTAGTGTAATTAAATAAACATAATGTAAATTTTCAGTGAGATACCAGATAATACCCACCAAATTGAAAGACAATTTAAAAATATTAAAATGCAGTACTATAAAAGCTTCAGAGAAACTTGTAAAAAAAATGATTACCATAGTGATTTTAAAAGATGAGCTCCTCTTTCGTATTAACTCACCTGGTCACTGACTTTTTTGGTGATGTGAGGGATGCATGTGGATGAAGAATGTAATTACTGGTATTGTCTGCTAGACCATCCACTCTTACAGTTGGTAAGTTTCTGTCACCAGTTTTCTCTTCAGAGACATCTTAACAACAAGAACAAAACATTATTAACTTGACTAACACATATGATTGTGCCCAACTAGAACTTATTATTTGTAATAGGAAAGGGAAGAACTATTATGAAGCTAAAGATAATAAAACTTATAATGATTTGTTGAGAATTTCTCTGATAAATGCATTTATTTTAAGATTAAAATACTACTGTAATTTCTTAATTAAGTTTTTATAACTTAAGTCAGTTTGGATAAAAAAGTGGTAGAAATAATTGCTAAGTTTCACAACAGAAAAATGGAAAATATATTTTTTGTTTATACTGTTTTTTGCAAACTGTTTTTTTCTTAGTTTTCATGGATGTTAACACAGATAAAGAATCAGAACTCTAGTATACATGTATGTTGTTTTAAGGTGTTGTTGACGGTTCTGACTCACAGAGACCCTATGCACAGAAGAATGAAACACTGCCTAGTCCTGCACCAATCCTTGCAAACTGTTACATTGAGCCCACTGCTGCTGCCACTGTGCCAATCTATCTGGCTGGGGAGTCATCCTCTTTATTATTGACCCCCCACTTTACTAAGTATAATGGTCTTCTCGTAGGGCTGGTCCCTTCTAATAATATGTTCAAATTATGAGAGATGAAGTCTTGCCATCCTTGCTTCTAAGGAGAATTCTGTCTGTACTTCTTCCAATACAGATTTGTTTGTACTTCTGGCAGTCCATGGGTACCTTCAATATTCTTCTCTAACACTATAACTCAAATCATTACTTCTTCTACAGTCTTCCTTATTCATTGTTCCAACTTCCACATGTATATGAGACTATTGAAAATACCATGACTTGGATAAGTACACCTTAGTCTTCAAACTGATACATTTGCTCTTGAACACTTTAAAGAGGTCTTTGGTTAGTTATGTGCCGTGGAGTCGATTCTGACTCATAGCGACCCTATATAGGGTTTCTGAGGCTGCAAATCTTTACAGGAACAGAAAGCCTCATCTTCCTCCCATGGAATAGCTGGTAGTTTCGAACTGCTGACCTTGAGCAGCCCAACTCGTAACCACTATGCTACCAGAGCTCCTTTAAAGTGGCCTTTAGTCAACAGATTTACCTAATACAATAGGTCGTTTGCTGCTTCCATGAGTGTTGATTGTGGAAAATGAAGTCTTTTACAACATCAATCTTTTCTACATTTATCATGATGTTATTTATTGGTTCAATTGTGAGGCTTTTTTTTTTTTTTACACTGAGGTCCAATTCATACTTAAAGTTGTGGTCTTTGACCTTCATCAGTAAATATTTTAAGTCCTCTTCACTTTCAGCAAGCAAGGTTGCAGCATCTGCATATCACAGGCTGTTAAAGAGCTATTTGCTCAACATACAGACTAAATAACTATGGTGAAAAAATACAACCCTGATGCACTCCTTTCCTGCTTTAAAACCATTCAAAATCTCCTTGTTCTGTTTGAAGGATTGCCTCTTGGTTGATGTGCATGTTCCTCATGAGCATACTTAAGTATTCTGGAACACCCATTCTTCACAATGTTATCCAACATCTAATCCTGATGCCACATTCTTCTTCATATAATCCAGCTTCTCAGGCTATTTGCTAAACATAGAGAATGAATAAGCATGATGACAGAATACAGCCCTGCTGCACACCTTTACTAATTTTAAACCAATCAGCATTCCCTTCTTCTGTTTTAACAACTGCTTCTGGGTCTATGTACAGGATCCTCATGAGCACAATCAAGTGTTCTGGAAAAGCCATTCTTCACAATGTTATTCATAGCTTTTCATGCTCCACACAGTTTAAAGTCTCTGCATAGCTAACAAAGAGTAAGTAAGCATATTTCTAGTATTGTATGCTTTCAGTCAAAATCCATCTGATAGAAGCAATGATATTCCTAGTTCCATGTCCTCTTCTAAATCTGGCTTGAATTTCTGACAGTTCCCTGTTGATGTACTGTTGCAGCCAGTTTTGAATTATCTTCAGCAAAATCTTACTTGCATGTGATATTAATGATGTTTGATGATTTTCGTATTGTTGGTTTACCTCCCTTTAGAATAGGCTCAAATATGGATCTCTTCCAGTCAGTTGGCCAGACAGTTGCCTTCCAAATTTCTTGACATCCATGACTATGCCTCCAGTGCTGCATCAATTTGTTGAAAAGCTTCAATTTGTATTCTATCAATTCCTGGTGGTGGTGGTTATGTGCCATAGAGTCAGTTCCAACTCACAGAGACCCTTGCACAGGGTTTCTAAGGCTGTAAATCTTTACGGGAGCAGAAAGCCTCATCTTTCTCCCACAGAACAGCTGGTAGTTTTGAACTGCTGACCTTGCAGTTCACAGCCCAATTTTAATCTCTACACTACCAGAGCTCCTTCCAGTAGATGTAATCAATGTGATTCCTGTTTATTCTACCTGGTAAGGTCCATAAGTATAAAAAAAAAAATCACCTTTCACCTTGTTTAAAAAAGGTATTTGCAATGAATAAGTCATTGGTCTTGCAAAATTCTATCATATGAGCTCCAATATCACTTCTATTATCAAGTCCATGTCTTCCAACTACAGACCCCTTCCATTTTTTATTTGCAACTTTTGCATCCCACTTGCCAGTAATTATCTTGATTGCATGTTTGATCAATTTCAAACTGAAGAAGTCTGTTGAATTCAATTTCATCATCACTGGCTTTAGTGATTGGTGCATTAATTTAAGTAATAGTTGTATTAAGTGGTCTTTCTTGTAGGTGTATGGATATTATCTGATCACAAATAGCATTGTACTTCAAGACAGGTCTTGAAATATTCTTTCTGATGATGAATTGCTATGTCATCCCTCTTTAATTTGTGGTTCCTGGCACAGTAAACCACTGTTGTTGTTGTTGTGAAGTGCCACTGAGTTGGTTCCGACCCATAGCGACCCTGTATAGGATTTCCAAGGAGCAGCTGGTGAGCTTGAACCACCAACCTTGCATTTCAAATGGCTTTGCTGTCTGGCACATTAACCCGCAGCGCCACACCAGACTCCATAGGACTATCAAATTCATAATGGCCAATATTAATGCATTTTAGCTCTTTAATGCCTAGCATATTCATCTTTATGCATTTAATTTCATCTTTGACAACTTTCAATAGTCCTAGATTCATACTTTGTACATTCCATGTTTTGATGATTAATGGATGTCTGTGGTTGTTTCTCTTCATTTTGAGATGCGCCCCATCAGCAAACGAAGGTCCCAAAAGCTTTACTCCATTCACATTATTACAGTCAATTCTACTTTGAGGGCATAGCTATTCCCCAATTGTATTTTGAGTGCCTTCCAATCTGAGGGGCTCACTTTCAGACACTATGTCTGACAATATTCTGGTATTATTCATATTGTTTTCATCTTCTGACACTATATCTGACAATGTTCGGCTGCTATTCATAGGCTTTCAGCGGCTAAACATTCAGAAATAGTCTGCCTCTCCTTCTTACTAGTCTGTCTTAGTTTAGAATCTCCACAGAAATCTGTCTACTATGGGTAACTCTGCTGGTATAGCTTCCAGAAATAAGCAAGCCAGCACAGTAAGACAAACTGATAGACAAGAGATGAGTGTGTATGTGTGTATGTATATATACACATATGTATATACACACATATATATTATTGTTGTTAAGTGCCGTTGAATCAGTTCTGACTCATAGTGACCCTGTACAGGGTTTCCAAGGAATGACTGGTGAGTTTGAACCACTGACCTTGCAGTTCAAACCAACCTTGCGGTCCAGTGCTTATCCTACAACGCCACACCAACTATATATGTTGTTGCTGTTAAGTGCCGTAGAGTCAGTTCTGATTCACAGGATTTCTGAGGAGTGGCTGGTGAACCTGAACGGCCGACCTTGTGGTTCAAAACCAACCATGCAGTTCAGTGGATTAATCCACAGCACAACACATGTGGTGTATATATACATACATATATGACTCCTGGCGTGGTGCTGTAAGATAATCATTGAACTGGTAATTGCAAGGTCAACAGTTTAAACCCACCAACTACTTTCGGAAAACCCTATACAGGGTCTCTATGAGTCAGAAGTGACTGACGGCACCCAACATCTAACTATTAGCTATCAGAGAGTGACAAAAAAGTGTAGCTATGATATTAGAAAGGAGACTCAAATGGCTGGAAAAGGAAGCAAAAGGAAGAGCACGCATATAAATATTACCCGATAAGTAAAGAAAGCATACAATAAAAAGAAATGGGAAGTATAATTTTCCTTTCTGAATCTAAAGGATTGGTGGGGAAAAAAGAAAACAGCAAAGAGAAGGAAAAGGTTATTTTTAAAAACAGCAATGAGTCACATGACTAACAAAAATATTGGTAAAAATATAATTGTAACAACTTCTCCAGTAGCTATTAGCACTATGTTTTTGTTACTGTTGTTATTATTACTGTATTATAATTAAAAAGAATTTGTTTTATGCTCACTGGTCCTTTGGGAGGAAGCAGGAGTCAACCAGCTTCACAGAATTCCAAAATGAAATAGACAGCTAACCTAGACAAGAGTTGAAAAACGAACTTGAATTCAATTAAGCCAAGAAATTTTTTCTAATTATTTAGTTCACAATTTTACCTAAATAAGTTAATTTTAACACTGACTTTCATGAGTCAATCGCTCTGAAATATGTATTTATTCTTTAATGTATTCTCAAATCCCTTATACCCCATTATTACTCACCCGGAGGACTATTCACATCCACAAGCTGTCCCTGAGGAACAACCACGTGTGTCATTCCTGTCTGGCTAGATGGAATTACTTGAAGCACCTGTCCGTTGTCTGATGGGTTGGCTACAATCATCTTGGAAGCAGTAAGATAAATAAATAAATAAAACACACATACCTACAGTGATCTAATGCAATTATTACTTAACTAAATTATTAAATATATACCTCCCTCTATGGTAGATACTGGAGTACTGGTGGCACTGTAGGATAGGCACTAGATCACAAAGTTAGTTTGAACTGCAAGGCCGGTGGCTCAAACCCACCTGCCTCTTCTTGGAAACACTACACAGGGTTGCTATGAGTTGGAACTGACTCCATGGCACTACAACATGGTAGATACTATTATTTCTCCCATTTAAAGATGAAAACATTACGGCACATATGACACTTTCATTATATACGCATGCTATCTAATTACTTGATGGCACTGAACAACAACAATGACAATCTAATTACTCGATCATTTGAACAAAGTCTCTGACTAGACTTTAAAATTTTGCTACTTATTATAAAGGTTATACATGTCTGACTTATTTATATGTGTGGTAATCATGTGTCCCATACTTTAAATAATTTTCAATAATTTAAAAAATGGTAACTTTGTTAGCTATCTAATTAAATAGGATTTATTTTTGTATTTCTGCTTGTACATTATGTCCTGACCTGATCCATATAGAATATCTGATCCACCTGGAATGCTACAGAGTATCTAAAAAGTCTGTAAATACAAGGAAAATTTATTTAAAATAAAAGCATACTTACTGTAGTTTTTTTTTCGGTTTAACCTACTTTCTCAGACTTTCCTGTTTTGGGCTACGTCAAACACAAGAACAATGCTGATGGTGATAGAGACTGCATTACTACTTGTAAGTTGTTGTTGTTTTAAGTGTCATTGAGTCAGTCCCAACTCATTGTGATCCTGTATAGGGTTTCCAAGGAGCAGCTAGCGAGTTTGAACCACTGACCTTATGGTTCAAATTGACCTTGTGGTCCAGTGCTTTAAACCATAGCGCCATGCCATTTAAATCTTAAACAGAACACCAAAACGCAACAATGAATAATAATGATTAAAAAAAAGGAAAACAACAAATGCTGATGAGGGTATGATTTTAAATGGTACAACCACTGAGGAAAACATCTCTTAAGAGTTAGAAATATAAGTACTTTGTGATCCAGCAATCCTATTAGTTTGCATATTATTTTGAGTAATAAGAGCTGACACAAATAGATATATGCATACCCATGTTCATCACATTATTCACAATAGCAAAATGATGGAAACAATCTAAATACCTATCGATACATGACTAGATAAACAAATAATGGTGCATAAATACAATGAAGTACTACACCACATTAAATATAATGATGAATCCATCAACAACACAGATGAACCTAGAGGTATTGTTGTTGTTGGGCATTATGCTGAGTGAAATTAGTCAATCACAAAAAGATAAACATTGCTGTTCTTATTTTCACCATCTGTCAGTACTACCATAATGGTGTGCATGATAAGCATTAAACTGGCCAATAGTATTGCTAATTCCAAGAGGTAAACACCAGGTTTCTAGCAGGCCGAGTTACAAAGTCATCATCCAATTTTAAAAAGTGATGTTGAAGCATGGTGTGATGGTTAGGGTTTTGTGTCAACTTGGTTGGATCAAAATTCTCAGTGGTTTTTCAGTTATTGTTGTTGTTAAGTATCGTCAAGTTGGTTCTGATCCATAGCAACCCTGTATAGGGTTTCTTGAGGAGTGGGTGGTGAGCCTGAAGTGCCAAACTTGCGGTTCAAACCAACTTTGCACCCCAGCGCATTAATTCACAGCACCACACCAGGACTCCACTTTAATCCAGGTTTATCAGTTAAGACGGGATAATTCCCAATGATGAAATCTAACCTGATGTAATCATCTCCCATGATGTGAACTGATGTGATAATCTCTGAACTGATTTAAGTACTCTTGTTGTTGTTAGGTGCCACCGAGTTGGTACTGACCCATAGCGACATTATGCACAGCAGAACAAATCACTGCCCGATCCTGGGCCACACTTGAGTCCGTCGATACCGCCACTTGGGCAATCCATCTCGTTTGGGGTCTTCCTCTTCTTCTCTGACCCTCCACCTTACCAATCATGATATCCTTCTCCAGCAACTGGACCCTCCTGACAAAATGTCCAAGGTGTGAGAGACGAAGTTTGGCCATCTGAGTCTCTAAGGAGCACTCTGGCTGCACTTCTTCCAAAACGGATCAATTGGTTCTTTTGGCAGCTATGATATTAATGTAGCCAGAAGAAACCTCTATAGGATTAAGCTGTTTTTTGAGTCTTTCTCTTTTGAGATATGGTGGTGGTAGTGGTGATGTGCTGTGGAGTCGGAACTGACTCAGTGACCCTGTACAGGGTTTCCAAGGCTGTAAATCTTTACGGGAGCAGAAAGCCTCATCATTCTCCCATGGAACAGCTGGTAGTTTTGAACTGCTTACCTTAAGGTTCGCAGCCTAATTTGTAACCACTAGAGAGATTAAAGCAAGCAAAGAGAACTCACAGGGATCTACTACCATTAAAGAATAGCCCAGGAAGTGAAGTGTATCCTTTGGACCTGAATCCCTGAACTGTGGAACAGCTCCTAGGTCCAAGGAAAGATTGATGCCAAGACACGTGGAGATCTCCAAGGAATGCCAGGCTTATAGATGCTAAAACAAGGACCTTTCTCCAGAGCTGAAACTGTGAATTCAGACTCCTAGCCTCAGTTAAATGAAATGACGTATTACATTAGGCAAATCTGCTGCTAAAGACCTCCTTAAAGTGTTAAAGAGCAAAGAAGTCATTTTAAGGAATATGGTACGCCGGACCCAAGTCATTGTATTTTTGATCACCTCATATGCATGTGAAAATTACGCAATGAAATAAGGAAGACCACAGAACAATCAATACATTGGAATTATGGTGTTAGCAGAAACTATTGAAAATATTATGGACTGCCAGAAGAATAAATCAATCTGTCTTGCGAGAAGCAGTCAGAATGCTCCTTAAAAACAGGAAAAGTTAAGTTTTGTCTCTTGTACTTTGAATATGTTGTCAGATAGGACCAGTCCCTACACAAGGATATCAGACTTGGAAAAGTGAAGGGTCAGTCAAGAAGGGGAAGACCCCAAAGAGACAGACTGACACAGTGGCAGCAACTAGGCTCAAATATAACAACAATTGTGAGAATAACACAGGACCAGGCAGTTTTTAGTCTAGTGTTTTGTTTTGCTGAGTTGGAACTCACACAACAGCTTTAGTTTCTCTACATTCAAGAACAAGTTGCAGTCTCTTTTAACATCTGTTTTTGTCTTTGTAATGACCATTTATTTATGTATGATGTTCTTAATATCATCTGACAACTCTTCAAGTCTTTGGTCATTAGTGTCTAATGCATCAAATCAGTTCTTGAGATGGTCTCTAAATTCAGGTGGGATATACTCAAGATTGTATTTGGACTCTCATGGTCTTGTTTGAATCTTCTTCAGCTTCAACCTGAACTTTACATATGAGCAATTGATGGTCTGTTCCCCAGTTAGTCCCTGGCCTTTTTCTGGCTGATGATATTGAGCTTCTCAATCATCACTTTCCACAGATGTAGTAAATTTGATTTCTGTGTATTCCATCTGGTGAGGTCCACGTAAATTCTCTCATGAGATCTCCAGCATCACTTCTATCACTAAGATGACATTTTCCAACTTTCCTCTGTGTTCACAACTTTTGTATTCCAATCACCAGTAAGTAACAATGCATCTTGATATCATGTTTGATCAATTTCAGACTGAAGAAGTTGGTAGAATTCTTCCATTTCATCACTACTGGCTTAATGATTGGTGTGTAAGTTTGAGTAATAGTGTTATTAACTGGTCTTCCTTATAGGCATATAGATATTTCCTATCACAGATGGCACTGTACTTCAAGACATATAGAAAGGCTCTTTTTGACTATGAATGAGAAAATTTTACAATTAATGTTCCTTATTTCAATGAAATCTTTTATTTCTTCTACTGAGACTTTGGATGTGGTGCTGTAGGATCAGCGCTGGACTGCAAACCACAAGATTGGCAGTTCAAACCCACCAGCTGCTCCTTGGAAACTCTATACAGGGTTGCTCTGAGTAGGAAGCGACTCGATGGCACTTAATAACAACAACTAAGACTACAAACTTGGTAAAAAAATACCTTTACCTAACTATTTAATGTAGCATTTTCATATTCTCATCCTTATGCATTGTTAGTCATATGACACATACATCTACCTACAAATATTAGCAAGGTTTATGCCTACTTCCCAATATGTCAGTGGTGCCTATACTACTTTCTTTCTCTTCAAGAAATCACACCAGCATGTGGTATGCAAGTCAGTGATGAGATGTTGAGTTCAGTCTAATGCATATATAAAAAGGAAATGTAAATTATATGTATACTCTGGCATTTTAGTACTAGTTATATACATTATGTTACATTTCCAAGTGATCTCAAAGTACCAGTGACTGATAAATTAGTTTAAAATAGTATTCTCAAAGGAAATCTTTTAAAATTCTTATATAACTTAAACACAAAGGTCTTGGAAATAACATTTTAATGCAATATAAGTCAACAGTGTCAAGAAATTAAGTCCTATAGGATAAGTACTAGACAGGTAACCACAAGGGCAGAGTCTAAACCTACCAGCTGCTCTCAGAAGGCCGATGCAGGCAGGGTAGCTATGAATTGGAATCAACTCAGTGGCATACAACCACAACAACAGAAACAAGAATTGCAAGGTTTTATCTTGCTTACTTCAGACTCATTACAAAAGACGAATGTCTAATAAAGGACATCACATTTGGTAGGTAGGGATCAGTGAATACAAGGAAAACCTTTAATGAGATGGGATTAACAATGGTTTTAAACATATCACAGACCTTGAAGATAGTGCAGTAACTTTGCAATAATGAGGGAGTTTAAAAAAATTCATAGAAAAATTCTATTACTTTTCAATCCCAATTTTCCATAAACTTTTTGAAGCACCCACATGTATACTGCTAAACAGCATAAAACTATTTATGAAATTTACTTACCATTTGTGCATTAGAATCCTCCAGTGACTGAAGTTCATACTGCATAGGTTGCCCACTTTGGTCCACTAGATGGAACTGCTCTGTAGAAGGAGGCTGGGTTAGGGACCCTTGCATATTTTGTGATGTGAGTGAAATATCTGCTCCATGGGTAGTAATGGGCACAACTGTAGAAGAATCATTTTGTCCAAAGGAAGAATCCCTGGAGTCCATATGAGTTAGGTGCTTTTGCAAAGGAAAAAAACCCCAAACACTTTAGTTTTTGTATTTTAAAAAATAAAACAAAAATGGAAAAACATACACTTTTAAATAATTATTTTATTTTTTATAAAAATTGTTAATTTGCACAAATATACAAAGAAAATAATTTTTAAGTGAAATTATTTTTATATTTTATTATCTCAATTTTATTGAGATAGAATTGCTCACAGGATTGTACCCTGAAATGATAGACTATAAAGTCTAGGTTTTTCTCTACATGTACATTTTTATTAATACAGTCATGATTTTAAGGAAAGTTAATTATGCTAAGTTTATTACTTTAAGTAAATTAATTCGTTAGTTTATATAAAATTCTACATTATAAAATGAAATATATGAAAGAATGTATGAATAATTTAACATAAAAATTCTAGAACATATTAAATAAAGCAGCTATTCCTGATACATAAAAAGTTGTTGAATGGCATCATGATTTGCCATACAACAGAAAAAGTTTCCAGTTGAATCCCTACCTCAAATACCTGAACATCTGTTTTTGATTCTTCGCCATCATGATGATTGACTCTTAAAGAACAATTAGACTGTTCCATGCTGATAGCACATTCAATTCCATTTTCTTCTATTGGTTAATAGCTAAAAGAATTTAAATACCTGATTAATCATGGCACTTCAATTTTTAAAAAAATGTTTATTGTGAATTATGTGATAGTTTACATGAGAGAACATTAGCTTTACATTCATCCTATCATATATTGTTTCATTGCCATGTTTACAATCCCCTCCATGCATCATCAACCAACCAAAGGGTATACCCTACAAGCCTGCTCCGCCCCCCTCCCCCCCCAGTCATCAGCACCCAGCCCCTCTCCCTCTCCGGATCTAAAGTCCTCAGCCACTCCATCTCTCCACATAATCGTTTCGGCCTCCATCTCCGGCATCACTGCTTCTCTTACACTCCGCTCTTCTCCCTTGATGGTTCCAGGGACCTCCACTCCTGGACTGCAAAGTCAGTCATTCCCCTCCTTTTCCTACAAAAACATCTACCTTTACATTTCCAACCCTCACTGTCAGGTCAGTAAAGATAACAATTATTCACCATTGTACCACAAAGGACCTATCACCATCTCTTTTCATTAGCCCCACCCAGACAGACTGGATACTATACAGTGGAGATTCTACCTTCCTCCACGCCCTCTGGATCTAGGCTCCCTCTTGAAAACTTGTAAGCTAGTCACTTCTTGCCTTTGCAGCCCCCTCATTTGGGGTAGCCAATGTCCAAGTTGCCCATCCATGTCTACTCTGTGTATAGAAGGGGTGGGAATGATTCTTGCTGTAAAGATTTGTTCCCTCTTTTGTGCTACTGCATCCATAGGTATAGGTCAATTTTATCAAATTGTATCAGATCACTCTTTTTTTCCCTCTTTCTTCTTCTAGTTGAGCTCTGATCATCCAGTGATTGAAGCCAGGTCAAGTGGGTATTATCTGCAAGTGTGGGTGTTCTTATGCATATGCCCTCTCTTCTTATCAGCTGGACGCTTCACTCTCCACTCTAGTCCTCTATGACTGTGTCACTGACTCGGGGCCAAAGAGTCCCCAGTCTTGCCACACTGCTGGCCAACCAGGTCTCCACCCAGGTCTACTGAACACTGTAGGGCTTAGCTCGCTGCTTCACTGCTGTTTTTCCCTCACTTCAGCATTTCTCAAGTTGAAAGAACTGAAGAAAAAACTTCAAGTCTCAACTTGAAATAATGAAGGGTATGTGCTGTGGATTAATATACTAGACTACGAAGCCGGTTTGAACTGTAAGGTTAGCAGTTCAAGTCACTAGCTGCTCCTTGGAAACTCTATATAGGGTCACTATGGGTTGGAAACAAGGAGCTTTGGTAACATAATTGTTAAGAGACAGGCTGCTAACTTCATTGTCAGAAATTCAAAAGTACCAGTGGTTCTGTAGGAGAAATATGAGGCTTTCTGTTCCACTAAAGATCTACAGCCTCAGAAAGCCTATACAGGCTCACAATGAGTCGGAACCAACTCCATGCCACACCAGATAGACTCATGTTAGCTTGATTAATGGGAAAGGCAATATACAACAAGAGGGAGGGTGGCAAAAGAAAGATACATGTAGTGGAAGACACACAGAAGAGTGCAAGAGGTAAATACTGTTAACTGACGGTAAATAGAAGAGATTGCAACCATTGTAACAAGTGTAGGATTTGTTGAATGTGGGACTGATAATCTGTTCTGCAAACCTTCATTCAATTCACAATTTAAAAATATTTAAAAAAAAAAAAGTTTATTAATTTAAAAAGAATCTTGCTAACTGTGAACGAAAGCCTTAATAAGTCACAATATATGCATTCCAAAATTGCTTTGTAACTTTTGGTTGAACAATTGACCTATGTTGCAATTCAGGTGTACACAAATGTATGTACTTTTCATTAAACTTTTAAAATTAAAACTGAGTTCTTCATCAGTAAAGCTATATAAATTAATAAAAGACAGTATTCTAGAGTCATATGATCTGGGTTTAAATTCCAACTTTATATTTACCTGTCACTTGGTTAACCACTCTATGCTTTAGTTTTCCCATTTGCAAAACGAGAATAAATTTCTATGTACCTTAAGTGTTGTTGTGAAGATTAAGTAATTAATATTTACAAAACTAGGCACAATTCCCAAGACACTGTCAATGCTCAATGAATGTTATTTTCATTATGATTATGTTTTGTAAAGTGGAGGGTCAGAGAAAAAGAGGAATACCCCTAACAAGATGGACTGGCACAGTGCCAGCAGCAATGGGCTTAATCAAGTTTAATGATTGTGAGGATGGCACAGGACCGGGCAGTGTTTTGTTCTGTCGTGCATACATACAAAAAACCAAAACCACACTCACTGCCATAGAGTCAATTCTAACTAAGAGACACCCTACATAGGGTTTCTAAGACTGCAAATCTTTATAGAAGCAGACAGCCTCACCTTTCTCTCCTAGGGAAACTGGGGTTTGAACCACAGTCCTGTGCTTATCCTGTATCTATGAAATTTTCATTGGAGTTAGTAAGCAGTTTGCTTAAAAAAATGAAAACAAGCCTGAAGAACCTATCAGTCATTAACAAATTTGCATATATTTAAAGAGAGATCTTTCTTTCTTTAAGATGAGTTAAAGAAAGCTACCCTGAAGGAGTCCTGGTGTGGTACTGTGGGTTAATGTGCTGGACTGCAAAGTCAGTTTGAACCTCAAGATCGGCAGTCAAGCTCACCAGATGCTCCTTGGAAGCCCCATACAGGGTTGCTATGGGTCAGAACAGACTGGAGGCACTTACCAACAACAACAACAACGTTCACTGCAGCACTATTCACAATAACAAAAAGATGGGAGACAGCCTAAATGCCCATCAAAAGAAGAATGATTAAACAAATTGTGGTACATACACACAATGGACTATTACACAATGTGAAAGAATACTGATGAATCTGAGAAGAAACTCCATAACATAGCTAAAACTGGAGGACATTATGACAATAGATGTAAACATAATCAAGATCATTGTAGCAGTATTCACAATAGCAAAAAGATGTGGTGCTGGTGTACCAAGGAGTTGGTTCTGACTCATAATGACCCTGCACAGGGTTTCTGAGCCTGTGAATCTTTAGGGGAGCAGAAAGCCTCATCTGTCTCCTGCAGACAGCTAGTAGTTTCGAACTGCCAACGTTGAGCTTAGCAGCCTCACTCATAACCACTGCTACCAGAGCTCCTTGCAAAAAAATGTAGAAAGCCTAAATGTCCATTAACAGAAGAATGGTTAAAACAAACTTTGGTACATACACACAATGGACTAGTACGTAACATTAAAAAATAACAATGAACCTGCAAAATAACTCTTAACATGGATGAATCCGGAGGACATTAAGTTGAGTGAAATTATTATTGTTGTTAAGTGCTCTAGAGTCGGTTCCGACCCATGGTAGTTATGTGTCGTGGAGTTGACCCTTTATAAGGTTTCCGCGGAATGGCTGGTGAGCTTGAACTGCCAACCTTGTGATTCAAACCAACACTACAGTCTAGCACATTAACCAGCCATACCAAACCAATACTCCAAGTTGTTGTTGTTAATTGGTTCTTAATCTTAGAGTCCCTGTACATGGTTTCTGAGGAGCAGTTGGTGAATCTGAACCGCTGACCTTGTGGTTAGCATTCTGGGGCTTATCCTATATTGCCACACAAGAATTCCAGTGAAATTAGTCAATCACAAAAGAAAACACTGTTGTAAGAAGTTAAGAAAAGTTTTTCTTGATAAAAAAAGTATTTTATGATGGGTTACCAGGGGTGGGAGGTAAGGGAAATTTATTCACTGGCTAGAGGGTGTATGTAGTGGTTACGAATCGGGCTGCCAACCTCAGGGACAGCAGTTCGATACTACCAATTGTTCCGTGGGAGAAAGATGAGGCGTTCTGCTCCAGTAAAGATTTACAACCTCGGAAACCCTGTACAGGGTCGCTATGAGTCGAAACTGACTCCACAGCACATTACAACAACAACAACAGAGGGTATATACATGTTAACTTGGGTGTAGAAGGCAATATACAACAACAGGGAGGTTGGCAGAGGAAAGATAAAAGTAGGAGCGTAAGAGCTAGAGTGAATAGAGGTAAATAATATTAACTAATGGTACATGGAGGGGATTACAATCATGGTAATCAAACTAAGTATATTTGTTGAATGTAAAACTGATGATCTACTTTGTAAACCTTTATTCAATTTACAATAAAATGCTAAAAAAAAGTAAGTTGGCTTCAATATCTATTGACCTAATCCATTGTTGAATTGGGAAATAAACATACAATTAAAATTAGATTTTGTGTATATATTTTTGCCCTAAAAGTTTTGACTGCAGTGAAAAGCATTATTTCCTTTTCCTCCATTTCTTCTATCAAGTAGCATGAACTTCTTCAATTCACCTAAATTCAGTTTCTTAAAAAACCCAGTTTCCCCAGCTTATTCTCAATGGCAAGGTATTTACTGTAAATTATCCCTAACTCCCAATTCACTTTATGATAAAGTGTACTTTTTTTTTTGCTTTAAGCACTACATCATTATTAACTTAATTTTTATTAAATCACAATACAGTATTAATAAATAGAAATATTGAGTAAAGAGAATAAATTTGAAGGAGAGTAAAGATATGGGCATGATATGGGAGTAGGGAGGCAATATGGGGCAAGAAGGACAATATGGGGCAAGGAGGACAATACGGGGATCAAGAAGATGGTATAGGGGAAAGGAGGGAAACTGGGGGAAGGGAAGGGATGCAGGAGGAAAAGAGATAAGATGGGAGGGAGGTGATTATACTTTTAAAGGTATAAAATGTTTTCCAATTTTTAACCATAACTAGAACAAACTCCCTATACAAACTGCAATTTGACTTTTTCATTAACATGTTAACTTTCATGAAGCTGTTACTTTCAATTAATTAAAAATAAAATGATTACCTTCAGACAGTGACTCAAGTTTAAATTCCAGGCCTCAAGCATTCTACTACCTCCAGAAATGCCCTTTGTTTTCTTCTGTAGCTCTTCCTTTTGGTGGCCCTAAATCATGATAGCTGTAGTCTCATATAGGTCAACCATATAATAATGTCTTCACAGTAGCCTTTTCTCTGTAATGAGAAAGTAGTCAATGAACATTTTCCTATATAGAGAGAAAATTAGTAAATTTCATTACACAACTTTTATTATTAAAAAAACCATTTATGAGTCTGGAATACTAGAACCATCACTACACTTGAAGAGAACTAAAGTCTAGGACTGACTGATAGATAGCTTAATGTATCCTAAAATACGTAAGTCTTTGTGCCTGTATTCTTATCTAAAATTAGGTTTTGTTTCTACTCACAGTCTCAAACTACCACTGAACTCAAAGACATATATTTCTCTTTATGGAAAATATTTACTAATAGCACTTGTTTGGGAGTCGAAAGAAGAGAGTAAATATCTCCCTTCCCTCAAATAAATCCTAGACTTGATTTGACAAGCTTATTTCTTAAGAAATATTGGATTGGATAAAGACATCAGAAAGAAGAAATAAGAGGTCCAGACAATTAATGGTTGGACTTCAGAAAACTCCTTCTAGAATGTTTCCTATCGTATTATACAAATGCATTTTATCTTATATCAAAAACAAAGACTAGAAAGAAACTATAAATTGATGTTTGGTGTTATAGGGAGAAGGGCATCTTGATTTACATACAGTGAATGCATGGAAAAGGGGAAGAGACAATATTTGAGTCATTGCTGTTCTGATTTTGTTCAACAGGAATTCTATTTGCTCAAAACTTTGTAGAGGTAATTTCTCAGCTGTCATTTCTCAAAAACTGTCTTAACATCTGATTATGCTGTTGAGTTTCCCCAGAGACTTTTATGTTCATATGTAGCCATTAAGACCAAGAATCTGAGATTAATTCCCCAAACACTTTGCATCAGTCACTTAATTTAAATCTTTAGTTTCTCTTAATTCCAGGTACCTTAATTAGTGTCTCAACATTTAAAGGATCGTTAGATCTATTTAATATCAGCATCAGAGCTTATTAACTACAAAAAGTCCACTGATGTTGTTAAATGCCATTGAGTCAGTGTTGACTCTTATTGAGCCTGTGTAGTCTGAGGCTGTTATGTCTTTTGGGAGCAGAAAGCCTCATTTTTGTCCCACAGAGCAGCTGATGGGCTTGAACTACTGATCTTATGCTTCATTAAAAATAAGAAATCCCTCAACTTTTGCTATAGTTGTTGTTGTCACATGCTGTCGAGTTGGTTTGGACTCATAGTAAGTTTATGGCATTTCCAAGACTGTACATCTTTGAGAAAGCCTCATCTTTTCCCCATGGAGTGGCTGGTGGGCTCGAACTGCCACCTTCTGGTTCAGTCCAGTGCTTATGGTACAGAGGCACACAATAGGTCAATGACATAATGTTTCTTACATGATTTGTACAAAATTACTATAAATCAGTGATGTCAAAAATTAAATCAAGATTCATAATTCAGATATTTTAACAGAATAAATTTTTTAAAGATGTTTTGAAAAGCTAGTTTTAAAGCAACATCAAAAATTTTATAGTTTATACATGCATATATATGTATATATATGTTGTTGTTGTTAAGTGCTGTCGAGTCGGTTCTGACCCATAGCAACCCTGAACAGGGTTTCCGAGGCTGTAAATCTTTACGGGAGCAGAAAGC